AGAGTGAAACCTAACGCAGCGCATACTTTCCAAGTTACTCTTGAAGACTGTTGTTAAGTTGAAAACGATTTGTCCCAAATAATCCCCAAGTCCTGCAGCAGCGCAGGGCGGTCGGCTAGTGCTTACACACGAAAGCGTGGGGGACAGCGATTTTATTGCTTACTGTAGTGGGACTCGGGCTTAGCAGGCTGGAGAGGTGCTCGGGGACGGATTAAAGCAGAATTTCTTCTGCGCCTTCAAAATATGTACCCGGATCACGACTCGCACCTTTCCACCCTCACTGTGTATTGTTTAATCAGGCGTTTTGGTTTGCCTTTAATTAACTGGCTGCTTTTGGGTTAGATGGCGATTCGGTAAATTCCTGCACAGCAATGGCACGGTGCATTGCTACCACCGACCATCGATGTGCACGCCAAATAACAGGCACTGTGTTTTCTACTGTGCAGTAACATTTTGAAAAATGAAGATGAGTAATATATATATATACGTTCAAAATAATGTACTTCTAAAGAATATGTGTTATACAGATAGAAGTAGAGGTATATAAATGTATATAGATAATGTGAATATGGATATATACACATATATTGGTAGTGCAGGTATAGTTTATGCGACTGTTCTATCTCCTCGGCATTTTTTAAAATAAATCCGGGGGGGGGGTGTAGTGTTGGGTTTTGGGTTTTTTTTTTCCGAAAACTCGTGCCACATTTAGCCCCCGATATTTTCCACGTGGGTAAGTAGCCGTACTGTGGGTCTGCGCTCTCGCCTGTCGAGCCCGGCCCATATGCCGCCCACGGAGCAGGTCAGAGCCTCAGCCCTGGCTCTGCGGTACAGGGAGAGAAGGATGTGCGAAAACGTCCCGGCGGGGCGGGCGGGGGCTCCCGGGGCTGGCCCCGGGCACAGCCGCCGAGTCGGCGGGGCCTCCCCGTGCCCTCCGCCCCTGCGGGAGCACTGACCCTGATTCTTCTGCGAAAACACCTGTTAAGCTTTAAAGTTACGCGACCGCCCTTCCGCCATGGGGAAAACAAACTACGGCGCGCTTCAGGCCGGCGGAGGGAAAGTATACAAAAAAAAAAAGGCCTTTTATTGGAAGAAACCTCACCGGCAGGCGAGGCACTGTCTACGCGCACTGCGCCCCAGCCTTCTGCCTCTCGCCGCGGAATGCCGAGGAGCGCCCCGCCATCGCGGCCCGCGGTGCATTTTCCGTGCCAGACCGCGCGCAACAGCCGCTCGCACTCTGTGGCATGGCCACAACTACGATTGTAATAATACCACCACCGATAATTACAATAGCAATAACAACAGCAGTAATAGCAGCAAAAATAGTAATAGTGATAGCAATAGCAGTACTAGTAGAAAGAATAAGGGACCGCGAGGTACAGGTGACCAAGGGTGACAGGAGGACAGGGGAGCCGATGCCGTGCCGCGTATCGGGACGGGGCGCGGGCGCGGAGTAGCGGCGACCAGCCCGAGGGGAGCTAAGTGCTTACCAGTTCGCGGCGTTGCCCGCCTGCGGAGGAGCCCGAGAGTGTCGCCGTAATCCATTCTGCACCCTCGTAGCAATCCGTGTGCCGGAGGAGATAACGGCAGCGGGGGCATCAAGCGGTGGGAGAGGAGTGAGGGGCTGGATGAGACGCGGCAGCGGGCGCGGGTCTCCGCGCATCTCTCCGTGGGCGCGGGAGAGGAGGAGGCGTGGGGCCGGGGAAGTGTCAGTACGGAGGCGGCGGGACCGGCCGCGGGTTTGGGGGCGCGGGACACAAACATGAGGGCGACTGCCATACACCTCAGCCTAGACAAAGGTTAGAAAAAGAGGGGCTGAGGCTCTCTGAAGGCAGAATGCAGGGGGAAATTCGCCAGGGAAATCAGGAAAAGGCCATGAAAGCGCTCGCTGCCTGCACATGACCAGCCGCAGCCAATGACGAGCCCAAATAGGTCATAAAAAGGTCTATTACCAAGTTGTAAATTTTCTTCAAACAAAAAGGAATTTACTGCAATTCCTTGCGGATTTTGCACATACTGCTTCCCAGCGCCATGTTTTTTTCGCGCTGCGCTTTTTCTGAGTCTTCGGTCCCGCCTGCCCTTCGGGCCGCGGAGAGTGAGGCAAGAGGTGGCAGAGCCGCATAAAGAGGGGCAGAGCACTGTGCCGAAGGATCCGTTTCTTGCCCAAACGAAAGGGGTCTTAACGCGCATCCCCACTCCCCCCCCCCCCGCGCCCCCTCCTCCCCCCCGCTCCGCCGGGCACTAAAAGAAATCACATCTGTTTTAGCGCCCACTACTGAAGCGGAAGCCGTCGCCGACATAAAAATAGTCCGAGCTTCTTCCCCACCCTGCAGTGTGCGGTTCCCGCAGGTTGCGCCAGGCGCTGTCACGGCGCCCAGGGTGCCTCCACCCCCGATAAAACCTTTCCGGGGCACCATCAGGGAATTCCTAGAAAGCATTCTAAAAAATTAAAAATGGGCCTCCGTCCACAGGGATTGCTCGGCTTGGAGACGGAATACTGTGGATGTTTCCTGCTCAAGTTTTGTTTCAAGGAATAGCCAGAGCACTTCATCCGTGACCTCCCTGCTGATTGTAACTGCTAACAAAAGTAAACACGCCTAAAGATGTAGGATCAATGTTGGATCTTTTTAACGCGCTGCTTCAGGCAGTTGCACACCTGTGAATATCACATCCATGCTGAGTGTCCCTCGGCGGAGGCACTGGCAGCTTTCGTGGTGTCTCTGCAGCACTGACGGCTGCGCTGAGCTGCTGCACTAGGGAATGGAGAAAATCCGCGGAAACCAAAGTCGCGGTATATCCGCGCGGTGACCGTTTCGGGCGGTCTTTCGCCGCCGCTCCAGCCGCTACTCGCGCAGCTACGGCTTTTGTTTGCCAAAATCCCGATGTCTGCTCCGGAGCTCGATGGCTCCGGTTTCATGGGAGCCTTGCTCGGTTTCTGGTTCAGTTTTCTTTTTTCTTAGCAAGTCTCCTACTAAGACCGAGGGAGAGATTCATATGTCAGGCTACGGGGGGAAATACCTTAACAACTACAGCGATGTTTTGTTTTCCCTAATGAGTAAGACAGGGACGATTCCAGCTACCACTAGGCCTTGACCAATTATGTGCGCATAGGGAAGTCGGTTTTCGCCTGCGTGGCTACGTTCCCAGTCGGCCCCGGGAGAGCGACGCTAACGGAAACTTCTTAAGGAGTATTTTAATTTTATTCTCTTTGTCTGGTAATTAAAAACAACTACCTCAGCAGCTCTCTCCCGGACAAATACTAGCCTAAGAAGTGCTCCGCTTGGGTGTAAAGGTCTCCGACGTGCCTTCCCCTCGCGAGCAGCCCGTGTTTGCAGCGGACGGCACCATCACGGCTTTCCCTATGGCAGGGCCCGGCGGTACCTTACCGCGCCCAGCCTCTGCCGCAAATGCAGCAGAGGGAAGAGGCTTTGCCCTGCCCGGACATCAAACATGCTGGTGCCGCCGGCACGAGTATTATTTTGAAAAGCGATGGTTTTTTACGCGTCTTGCGACTGGTGTTCTTTAAACGCGCAGCCACCAGACACAATCCTCCCTGAACACTAGGGGTGTCGGTGTATTTATGCAAATCTATGCAGCAAAATATTTACTTCACCGCTTTGTTGCAGCTTCCCCTTCTTTACAACCTTTAACTAACGAGGCGAATTAAATAAAACCAAGAACAATAGCTTCTCTTGCTCGTGCCTCCCTCTAGAGCTGGCGCTTTGCAGGAGTGGAAATGTGCCTGCCTTGTTGGCAGGGAGGGGGGGAAGAGGAAGGGAAACGAAATGAATCAAACCCGCCCTACAAATCCAGTCCCCGTGGACGGCGTTTCCTGCTGCGTCGGGTGCGTTCCCGGGAGCAAAGCGGTGGGTGCAGGAGAAGGGCCCAGCGCCAGGTGGACTCGGCGGCAGCCGGCACCTCCTCGGAACCCTGGCTGTGATTTTCCGAGCGAGGCCTCGGCTCGGCCCCGGCCTTGCCGGGAGCATGCTCGTTTCTGGGCAGATAATAGAAATATGTCGTGTTTGTCCCAGTGTCTGGCGCGTCCATTCGATTTCTTTCATGGAACCATCACTCAGGGGGTGTCAGGCGGTGGGGAAAAATGACACAGATATCTTGGTAGGAATTTATACCTCATCCCTCGGCCCTCTGCCTGATGCTCCTAAAAAGGACTGCTCTCGGCCGTCCTGTTTCATACCGCGCTCTGCGGAACCCCACTGCGAAGCAGGAGCAAAGGGAGGGAGGACAGAGGGGGAGAGAAATTAAACCGGAGCGGACCTCTCCACCCATGGCTGCGGGAATCTTTCAGCAAGCTCTTTCCTCGGCTACTTCCTTCGCTAGGAAACGCGCCCAAGCCGTATGATTTAGAGGGGGAAAGGTCCTCCTCTCTGTCTATGCAAGTTTTGGGACCCCCTAGCCATTAAAGCCCCCTAGTAACCCCCACGAAAGGCCGTAAAAGCTTTCCATTTCTCTACTCGTCCACCATCCACGAGGGACGCTAGGCCTTGCTTGTCCGTGTCTTGCGTGACGGGGCTGGAAGCCTCGGCCGGTGGGAAGCAGCCCTGCGGCAGGAATGGGGCCAGAGTGCTCGCCGGGCCCGTCTCCCTCCAGCCGGGCCGGCAGCAAACGCCTTCGCGGAGAAAAGGGCCGTGTTTGCCGGCAAACGTCCCCTGCGCCGCCGCCCCGCAGCCCGCTGTGGGGAGCAGGAAAAGGCGAAGCAGGGCCCCGGTGCACACGTCGGGGGCTTCCTGGGCCAGCCCGCAGCGTGGACTCAGCTCGCAGGTGGGGCCGCAGTCCTCGCTGGCCGCTGCCTCGATCACAACCCTGCAGTATCCGAGCGAAAAGCAGGTTTTGTATGCAATGTGCCGTTCCAGACCCCACAGAAACACCCAGAATCGCAGGACGGACGGCGGAAAGGCGCAGGGGAGAGTTAGTCTAGACCCGTGGAGACTCTGAAGGTTAGTGTAGGAGTGGATTACAAAAAGGATATCGGGATGCTGATACACTTTATACTTGAATAAATTTGGTTTATTTTAATCAAATATCATAGCAGAAGGTTAAAGATATTTCTAAGATATTTTCTTCAATTTTATTAAATTTATATAATTTATTCAACATAAGGACAAGAGTTAAAATAGTACAAGTGCACTTGTCTTGATTAATAAAGCATTCTTAAATGTCTTGCTTATTGGTATTTATTATTAGGAAGTTTATGTCGTTTCCCGCAATCATCATCTTTTAAGATTGCAAATATATATATATTTATATATAATTAGAAATTTATTGCTACAAACTCTGTATCAAATTTGCAAAAATAAGTAGATGAAATATTAAATCTAGAGATTGTTCTGAATACGCTTATAAACAAAATAAAGCCATAAACAAGTGAAACACCCGAAGAAAGGAAATGTCAAGTGGAGGGACACGGGGTCACTCGTCCTACGGCAAGATCACGTACAGCGGTAGATGAACCGAGATGTCAGGCTACGGTCCTGGTTATTTTTAATTGCCTTTCACAAAGAGTTTTAGGGCAAAAATTAATTTGTCTGGCCTTCAGCTCTGTCTTCTTCTAGATCATGTGCTTCCTTTTTGGCCTCCCCTTCCTTTCCCTCCTGTCTGGAAGCGGGGAATTTGTCCTTGTTGTTCTCTTTTTTCCATTTCATCCTTCTGTTCTGAAACCAGATCTTTACCTGCCTCTCGGTGAGTCCTAGTGCATGGGACACCTCGATTCTCCTCTTCCTGGTCAGATAGGGGTTAAATAGGAACTCCTTTTCCAGTTCTAGAGTCTGGAATCGGCTGTACGTTTGCCTTCCTCTCCTCCTACCAGGCGCTGCTGTTTAAAACAAAAACATAGGGATTTGGAGGTTGGTGTGGCCGTTCAAAACAAGGCGTAGGCAGGGAGCGAGGGCTCCGGTCCCTCTGGAATCCCTCGAGAGAAACCCCACAGAACCAAAGGGAGAGAAAACAGAGGACACGAAGGAGTCTAGAGCTTTACATAAGTGAGAGAAAAACAGCGATAGCAAATGCACGAAGTGTCTCAGCTGTTCCTCTGCACGGGGGGTTGCGAATTCACTTTATGGTCTTTTATTCCATCCTTCCCACACCGCTTCCCGACCCTGCACCCTTCCCGTTCAGGCAGCGGCTACGGGAGATGAGCGAGCGTGTCAGCTATGCCTCAGGGTTCGAGAGGCGCATCCTTAAAGACTAATCTTGGGTTGGTAGCTGCCTGCTGCAGAGGTTTCTGTTTGCTTACTCTATCGCTTTATTATCGCAAGCCACCGTAGTAAGAGGAATCGCGGAGAGAGAGGTAGGGAGTGAGGGAGACAGAGGCAGGGAGTGAGAGTCAGCGAGAAAGAAGCAGGAGGAGGAAAAGAAAGTTTCAAACTCAGACGTGAGATGGAAGCAAATTTTTGACTGCGTCCAACCTTGTGGTCTCATCCAGGGAAACATTTGAGCAGGAGACGAGCTCTGATTTAAGTGGTCTGGTTCCTCGCCAATATTAGCACTGGACGATTTACAGTCAGGATATTGTACCAGCTCGGCCTCTTGCTGTGTCGTAAAAATCTGCTGTCTCTGTAAGTTATCGTATCCGTAAAATTTAGCGGGCTCCCCGTGACAGGTAACCCCGCTGCAGGGGGCAGGAGGCGGAGGCGCGGCGGGGGGAGGAGGAGGCGGCTGGTAGGCGGCCGTGGGGCTCCCCCCGGCCGGGTGGTAAAAGTCCGCGGCCGCTCCGCCGCCGCCCCCCACCCCGCCGGGCGCGGGGTGCGGGAAGCCAGCGGCGGCCGCGCCGTTCCCGTAGAGCAGAGCGGCGGCAGCGGCGGCGGCGGCAGCAGCGGCGTGTCGGCCGCTCACCTCGGGTGCGAAGTGACAGTCGTAGTACGGGGAATTGATGGGCTCCCCCGCCGCCGCCGCCGCCGCCGCCTTGTACTTGGAGTACAGCGGGTTGACAAAGTAGGAGCTCATCGGGGAGGGGGCAGCGGCGGGCGGGGGCGCGGGCACGGGGCGCTGCTCACGCCGCCGCCGCCGCCGCCGGTGCCTCTACGCCGCGCTCATGCCGCCGCCGCCGTCGCTGGCCCGTGCGCTCCCCGCTCCTGCTCTCCGTGTATGTGGTGACCAGGACTGGATTATAATCGCTCCCAAAATGACCTGCCTCACTGCTTTTACTATTTCCTATTAGGCACACAGCAGCCCGCGCACGCACACACACGCACACACACACACACACACACACACACACATACGCTCATGAGCTCAGGGGGGACTTTTGGCTTCAGTTTACATGTGCCGCTCCTCGGGCAAGAAAAAAGCCCGGCCCAGCCCTGCCCGGATCCACCCCGGCCGCGGCACCCCCGCTCCCCCACCGGTGCGCGCTCGCCAGGAGCTGCTGAAACCCCCGTCGCGCAGGGGCGAGGCGGCCGCGCAGATCCCGCGCGATAACCGCGGGCGCGCTGCCCGGGGCAACACTGCCCGGCTCGCCCAGGCTGTACTGCCCGGAGCGAGGCCTGCACCGCCGGCCGGCAAGGGCATAGCCCCTCCGAGGGAGCCGATGCCTGGCGAAGGGTCTCGGAGATGTCGGTGAAGGCATCTGGGGGGCCCGAGGGGCGGCAGCGTGCAGCGGCCGGGCCCCATTGCCAGAGGGCCCTCCGGGTCATTTCCTTGCAGGCGAGCAGATCGCTGGGGAATGAGATGCAGATTTACCCTTGACGCTGTGCACGCATGGCTGAGGCTTCAGGTTAATTGATACTTAATGGAAATCATGCCTATGAATATACTTTCCATCATTTCACCCTTGGTGGACGTCATTACCGAGGGAAAATAGAAAAGTGTGGGTGAGTGGTTAGTATCGCTCGGGGACTCGGTCCGAAATAAGTGAGCCCTGTTCTCCGGCAGGAAGGAAGGAAGAAAAGCGCTGCCCGTCAGGCTCGGCGCTGCCCCCGCTCCACGGGCCGACCACCCCCGCTGTCCCCCGCGCCCCAAGAGGTATCGTCTCCAGTCTTCTCTTTCCTGCTTCGTCCTGCAGTGGGAACCAGCTTTTCGGATAGACATCCTCATGAGCTCGAGTCCTCCCTATTTTGGAGAGAGACGAAAAATGTAGGTGAAGTATAATACAGGCCCAGCCAGAGCCATGTGTGACCATCTGATGTGAATTGACAAAAAAATATTTGTGGTTACATAAAAGGCATCACAGGCTCCTTCCCCATCACACCCGCTCTCCCACCACCACCCCCGCCCCCATGACGATTAACCCGTTATGTCCAGATGACCAGCCCGGCTGCCCCGCATGTGAGCACCCAGATGGGTCTGTGCCCGCAGCGACACCCTCGCCCGGGCAGGGGCCCCGGGATCCGGGGCGCACGCCTTTGAGAACTTGCAGAGGCTTAGGGACCCCCATGTAGCCCGGAGAAAGGCGGGGGAGGCGGGAGAGGCCTAGGGACGCACACACACGGATTTTTGGTACTACACGGACCGCCAGCAGCAAAAGCCCTTCGCCAGACACCAACGGGAAGGCAGGAGGCCGGGCCAGGCAGGGGGGAGCGGCAGCAGAGCGATAGTGCCTCACCCTGCGGAGGGGCACGGAGGGGTAGTGGCTGCTTCCCGCACCCGCGCCAGAGACCCACGCACCTCCTCATGCGCACCCCACGGGGGCGTTAATTCCGCGGGGCAGCGCCGTGCCCGGTGCGGGGCTGCGGTGGCGGGGCCGCGGTTCCGCGGGCCGGGGGCGCTGCGCGGACCCTGCGCGGGGCGCGGCGGCGGCGCTCGGGTGGAGCGCGGGCGCCCTCTGGCGGCGCGCGGCGGTAGCGGCAGCAGCGCCCCCACCCCTCGCTGCCCGCGCTGCCCGCGCTGCCCGCGCTGCCCGCGTCCCCTCGCCCCTGCCCCGGCCGGTGCCGCGCCACAGGCGCGAACGGTGGGGCCGGTGATGAGCGACTGTTCCTTTGCTTTCTGTTTTTTTCCTGGGTTTGGGTTGGGTTTCTTCCTTTTTCTTCTATTTTTTCCTTTTTTTTTTTTTTTTTTCTTTTTTTTTTTTTTTTTTTTTTTTTTGTCGTTAAGTGTTTACAGTACCATTTTCTTAGCACATTTCGGTGACCCTCTTTAATTTTTTTTTTTTTTTTTTTCCGAGGTAAAAAGAAATGCAAAAAAAAAAAGCCCCCCTTTTACACATGGCAACC